TATGTTAAACTTGTATTAAAGTTTTTCTTCATTAACCATTCAAGCCGTCTCCAACCATTACTAAAATCTGTGTTTGTATTGCAAGTCAATGACCTAACCACATGGCCATGGCGGATACAATCAAACCCTTAAATTGTTGTCGTTTAGGACCACAAACAGCCATCAGTTACAAGTAACCAAAGCCAAGTGAGCTCTAAGCATCTATATAATAATTACCTTAGGCAATTTGTAGGCACACCAATAAAAAAACTTCCCAAAACCACACTCAGTGCCATGCCTACCAGACATATTTGTGGCCACATGCAATGTAGAAAACACTGTGATTTTTGCACTATAGATGAACTTGTTTTTCACTGTTTTAATCACAGCTAGTTACTGTACTTGTTACAAGTGACATTATTATTCTTCAGGATAAATTTGGGTAAGGATACATAATCAGTTATTGTGTTTTCATTATTTCTAAATACTAAACATATATCTTTTACTTACCTGCTTGTTATCCAATTTTCTCTTATATTATTTCTTAATTTAGTAAAATAGTTAAACTCTCCTCTAAGTTTGAGCTATTTTATGAAAATAGTTCTAGATTACCAAGAATGTTCAGAAATGTTAGTGATTGAAATATTTGGGGAAGTGTCTAAAAAAAGGCTACATTATAAATATGATAATCAGTGAAGCATTGAGTCAGCTTTCAGTTGGTAGATTCCAGTCATTCAGTGAAGTATTTAGACCAGTGTTAGTTATTGTGTATATTCAGTTACTTAATCAATTAGCTGTAAAAGTGTAAAAGTAAGTTTATTTGTATGTTAGGTGTAATACCATTAGTGTGTAAATATCTGCTGAATATGAGAATAAAAATGTTATTTATGAACTTAGATCTACAAGTACAACTACCTACAAGTGATAGTAGCCTGCAAGTTAAGGAAGAAATAAACTACTTTTTTATCATTATATTGTGATATTTTATTCACCAAATAATTTAAAAGAACTAACCCAACAAATGAACGTTAGAACATTACATACTGACTGACAGTAAAAAAAAAATGTTTGAAGTTCATGTTCCTTTAAATGAAAATATATTATTTTAAATTTTGTAATACCATTATCAACATTTGAATTATTCATTGATGTGCACCTTACAAAAATATTGAAAATGCTGATACAACAAACTCAAACACTGTGATTTTTAACCTTAACTTTCAGCTAAAGAAACATCTTAATATATTTTTTTAGTTCTATTAAAAAGTGAATAATTTTACATAACAACACCTATTTTTCAGTATTTGAGTAGGTAAATAGAGTAATATATCAATACAGATATGTTTTCTATAGTGACATTGACAGGTGTGTAATGAAATGAGTAGCACTTGAACAGAGATGGTTTGGTGCTTGTGTAAGTTATTTAAGAGGTAACACATATTATATGAAGTATTCATTGTACACAAGTAACTAAACATAAATTTTGTGGTCTTAGGAATGCAAGAAACAGTAACCAATACCATCAAATGCATAATGCCTTACAACAAAGAAGTCAAACATGGGGACAAAAACTAACAACAAAGAACCTGGGGCTACATTAACAGTCTCTAGCTTCAGGTCAAGAACTTTACCAATTTTGAAAATTATAAAAGCAAGCATCAACAGACTAGAGTAAGCATCTTTAGAAGATGTATATGCTTGTACATGAAAGATCAATTACAAACTCTGTATCTACTAGTCTTATTTTTACAATTTTTAGGTAACTAGGTATAGTAAAAGTATTAAATGCTGAAGGCTAGCAAAGCAATGAAACAAACTGGCTTTGTATTTGTGATAAAATCAAGCTTAAGACTGTAGATATTTTTTCATATTCTTCTCAGTTAGTTCATTGTGGTTCATATCACAGATACTTACATATAATCTTTTGTTTACCATATATTACTGCCTAAGGAGACTCTTGGCTCTTTGTTCAATACTATAGTTCACAAATTTACGATGGACATGATGGTAGACAAAAATATATTTACTCTACTAATACTACCTTGTTTACTATCTTATTTTATAAAATTTAAAGAGAAAAATATAATAAATATTTTAAATAAAACTTTGATTGTCATTGTTTTTAACAATGCTAGTTTTGTAAAAATAATATTTTCCAACATTTTTCTAAAATATGATGTTACTTTGTTTCAGAAATAGCCAGTTCAGCAAAGTACTGCTAACCCACTAAATCTTTTTCTTTTTCAAATATCTAGCACAACAAAGGAGGATGAGACTTTTCTTTGTGCTGTGGTTAAAAACTTAAAGATAAACAGACCTGATGTCCAAGTGTATATCAACAGACATAGGCTGATGATTGAAACTGTACCTCAATTACCAATATACCTCGAGAAAGCTATTTATGTACATATTTATTCATTTTTCCTCAAAATTATTTATTGATTCAATATCACTATTGGTTCAATGCTTGTCATAAATATTTTTAAATGTACTTCTATTAAACTATAAAGGACTCCAGCAGTGCAAATTTCTCTGTGGTCAATTTAATGAGTATTAATAATAGATTACCTCCCTAGGATCAAAGTAAGAACGAGCTAATAAATTCTCTAGATGAATATATCTTTCTGGTTCTTCTTGTTTCATCTTAATCATTGGATCTGTTTGTCTCAGTAACGACCGAGCTGCATTCAGTTCTCTAAGTTCAATTAGTTCCAACACCACCTGGATGAATTACAAACAAAACAAATAAAATGAAATACAATAATTTATTGAGAAACAGTAAAATGTATATTAAAAACTGCAGTAAACTATTCATTAAACTTGTATTTTCTTATTAATGAAATGAAAACTTATAATAGTTATAAACAATAATAATAAGAAATGTTATTTTAAAATTAATTTTATTATATCATATAAAGTACAGACAAATTGCTATAATTACCATCCAAACACCTTTTTAAAGAAAATATACCATGAAGTAACAGCATGACAGCTCCTTCATGTCTTAATTCACAATCTTTTGCTTAACACAACTTTCCTTTCTGGCAGTATTGAAACAGCTCATAAACTAGGAAATGTTATTTATAAACTTACATTATTTTAATACTCTAATTAGCATTATTCTATGTGCATCATATTTATTTTAGTAATGAATCTCTGAGTGAACTGGACAAACTATGTAATTTCTGTTTCAAAAAAGAGGGTCCACACTAGATCTGGATAACCAGAAAAGTTGGAAAAATTACAGGAATTTGTAGGGCTTAAGCTGGGGAGTCTTTTGCTGTGGCTATTTCTGTGGGTATAGTACTCATAGTGGTTTTCTATCTCACCACTCTGTCAAATAATTATATGAACATAATGGTCTGTATGCAAAAATGCTTATCTTTGGCCATTTTTTATTAGCACTAACAGAAATTCTTCTCTGGTTTCTTTTATGGCTTGCTTTTCAGTCTTTGGGTTGACAAATACCATTAGATTCTTCATGTGACAGATCATATTCCATAAAATTTGCCACAGAGTTGAGGAAATATCAGGTGCTTGCCTCTTGGAATCTGAACACATATGCAGTCTGGTTAACTCAGATTTTCATTGTTAAAATATTTCATGATCTAAATTTTCATATGCATTATTCTTCACTTCCTATTCTATGATACCACATTATCAATACAAATGAGAGAGAAAAAGGGTAAGAACACAATATTTTGACATTTATTACTATTGTAAGATGGATACAAGTTAATATAAACCTACAGTACCTGTTCATATAGATCAATAAGTTTTCTGTCTGGCAACTTTAGAGACTGGACAACCTTTAGCACAGTGTCCCAATGACCATTGTTGATATCCTGTGTAAAACTATCAATACTGTCCACTGTGTTGAGGGAAATAGAAGTTTCTTCCTAAAACAGATATTCTTATTAGCACAGATATAGTATATTTAAAAAATATAATCCTTAGTGAGATAAATAAGAAATAAATGTCATCCTCTACAGTAAGAATTGTATGAAAAGCTTATTTAACAAACTCCAAAAAAAGACAAACAACGAATCATAAAGCAAAAGAAATTACTAATTTTAAAATAATACCAATAAGACTATTTACTATATCACAAGAACTACAGAACATTTAACAAATAAAAATAAATGTTACAAAATATTATAGTACTATGCACTATACATTGTTTTGAAGTACTTGTATCTGATGTTATTAGAATAAACAAGAAAAGCTTATAAAGACTATTCAGTAAACCATTTGATGTTACACTATACTGACAAGAATTCCCTGAATTTTACTTACTTCAAGCCTGTATTACACTCACTCTTGTCACAAGAAAAGTCTTTCTAAAAATAATCTTGTCAGATAAAACATAAAACCCATACTACAGTTAGAGCTGGGCAACTAACTTGATTTATCCATATAATGGATTACCTATGAGCATTGACTACATGAACCAATGCCATTTGAAATAATCAAAATTGTAATTAAATTGGTTAATGTTATGAAAATGATAAAACAGTGTTTCCAATTATCACTATTTTTGATTACTTGAATTATCCAGTAATAAAAAATACAATTAGATCAATTAGTGTCAGAAAAATAATCAACTAAATGAAATTGGTATTTCTGATTATTCCATCTGTACAGTAATTGAAATATTACCTTAATGATCTTTCATCATTATTTTCAGTTAATTCAAGTTTGTTCAACTTAATAGATTAGTGTCACGACTCACAAGAATAATAAATTAATTCAAATCAAGGTTTCTAGTTATTTCAACCATCAAAATAATTTTAATTTTCCCATTATTTTTGTTTGTTGCAAAGCCCAAAACTACACAATAGACTATCTGCATTCTGCCCACTGTGGGTATCAAAATCCATTCATTGCATTATAAGTTTTTTTTTTTTAGTCAACTCATGTGAGAATAGTAAATATTTCTTTTCAGTCATCTTGTGAGAATAATCATTTAGTTGAAGGAAATCAATTCATGAGCTAAACAATTAAATCAGAAATTCCACTAATCACCCAGCTCTAACTACAACTATATTGTAAAAGAATTACAAAATATGAGTCAAAAACAGATACAGTGATATGACTGCTTTTAACAAATTATATGAGCAAGTGAGATTAGTCATGCATTTGAAGAGCTGTAGTAGCTATGAAATTAATGACTCATCATCTCAAAAGGTACAATGGTAAACTTGGAAAATTTTATAATTTAAAAAAAAGAAGTAATAGGCTCCTTACTTTAGTAACACAATGTGGTGATGAAAAAAATACAGCTTTGTTCTTCAGGAACAGAAATTAAACTGAAGCAATCTTCTATGTGAAAGCCAATCATTAAAAAAAAATGTTTTCTATCATACCCAAAGATTTACAATTTATCTTTCAGCCAGAAAAATAAAATGTTCCATTATTTTGAATAACAAAGTACAAATTCAGTCTTGTTGTCATGAAATAAACTTTTCAGTTATATACATTTCTATTTCAATTTGATTTTTCCTATTCCAGATTTTCAAAAAAAAGGGAGTTTAATTCAAAACTTTGAATATTTAGTATTTTTCTTACAAAAAAGTTTAAAGTATTTACTACCACTCCATATTCGATTGAAATCATAATAAAAGGTATTTTACTGAACAAATACAACATTGAAGACTGTAAAACAAAATACAGAAAAGTAGCCTTATCAGCAGACCTATAAAAGAGAAAGTGTATTTGAAATGACAAGATGCTTTCTTCTTGCTACAAATGTGTTATGAACCAATTAATAGTGCAATGTTTACAATGATTTTAAGTCTTATACAGCACATTCTAGTCTAAATTATCAATATACCAAATTTTACAATGCATACACAAATTACTGAAAAGATAAGTGAATGTTAATGCTATTTCAGTTCCATGTTAACCTAAGTCTGTGAGAAATTATTTGCATAGAGGTTTAAAATATATGTACTGTAAAAAGCATGTATGCATCCTGAAGACTTAGACTCAATTCATTTTCCAAATATAATAAGAACAAAGAAAACTCAAAAATATTCACAAAAGTTTAAACTTTTATTATGATGTGGTCATGCTTCCTGACAAAACAGAATGAAATGTAGTTTTAACTTCTGTGAGAAAAATTACACTAAAGCATTTAAGATTATGGTGAATATATAAGGGGTAAAAAAAGAAAGTGTGTTTATATATTTTATATATTAGTACTTTAAATGTGTATTCTTTTTCCAAACATTACTTATGCAATGATTGGTCAATGTCATTAAATCTCCGAATATGCAGGAAAACAAGTTAATTGAATAACTGTCTTATTTTGACTCCTCAGGTTTACATCTACAAGATGTAAAAAATTACTCACATTTTTAAATTTGGCATTTCACTCACCTGTAAAACTTGCAGTGTTCGCATCAAATTGTGCTCCTTCAAGTACTGCTGGATTAGTCTGACAACACTACAAAAACAAGAAGTTGTGTTGCATTAAAAATGAAATGTTTATATATACTCAGCTGTGTTCCAGAGGCAAAAATCACCTCCTTAAAACAAATTTTATTTTGTCTAAACATTTAATTACATTGTTGTTTCTGTGGAACTTTAGGCAGAGTAGACATAGTAGGTTTGAGAACTTTAATGGCTTCAGTATAGAAGCTAAAAAGTTATCCCCTTTTCATTCACCAGGCAGTTAGAATACATTTAATTAAATCATTTAAAAAATACATATATAGACCAAAATACATTATACACATGTATCTTAAAAACTTTACATAATGACAGATGAATACAGATAAAGATTAATGGAAATTTTGATGTCTTGAGTATGAATTCAACAGGTCATGATGGAATATAAATTTTTTATATATATGCTTTATATTCTAAACAAACTAATGGGCTTTTAGTTTTCCTATACCATTATGTGTCTATCTTTTCATAAAGAAAACTAATTTTAACTTTACAAAGTGCAGAGTTAAATAACTTCCTTCTTATTTGAAAGTAATAGTCACCAGATTGCCTGTATAATAATGTTAAATATTTTAATATGTACTACACTCTTAAATTTTTTCATCACTCCATACTGGACAGAAATACGTTACTACTCATTTATAATTTCCTCTGCTACAAATATTAGAAGTTTCACATTGTATTTAAACAAACTGTATAACTGCACCAAGAGTAAATATTTTTATTTATATAAAAAATGATAAATCAAAAGCTAGGTCTAATAGTACTAGAAGAGAGCTGTGGTACCAGTTTACACGTTCTTTATTTTTACTTAAAAATTTATTGAAGTTTTGTAAATGTTTCTGTGACATGGCTTGATTTAACATTTTACTTGGAACGATACTTATTTATGCCATGCCTATCTCCTCATGCATATTAAAACAATTATTTGTATATTAAGACTAAGTAAACTGTACACTAAAATAAAAGTATAAAAAAAAATCACCCCATGTGAAGTTTTACAAAGAATAATAGTACCACAGTTTACTACAAATCAGTAATCTACAACATGGACCTGCTGAAAAATCAGTCAAAAGTTTTAATCTTCACCTGCACTTAGACCAGATTTTTCATAAAACTGTTTCTGATCATGTAAATATAAAATTAAATGACTATTGACAACAATTAAAAGGTGGCAATTAAAACCACAATAACACTACTGACACAGACAACAGTAAATTAAACTAAAGGCTGGAAAGTCCCTGTGCCGACTGCATTTTGCAAGCGCTACAATTCTCTGTGTTAAATGTATCTGTTGATGGTCTTCCCTGCTATGAGTATAAATCAGCTCCTGATCACTAACATCGCCATTTTGTGACAAATCACGTGAAATATTGGGGTTAGTCATAGGAGTTAAATTAAATTCTTGATGTTGGAGTCAATATCTTTTCTGTACCAGTGACTGCCACCAGTCAGTTGAAACAGCAAGTCAGTGGCTTATATTGCCACCATTCTGCCAGTAACAACAGCAACACCATATAAATAACATCCAAGTCTCAAGAGTAAGGAAAAGTATATTTGGATTTATTTATGGTAATCCCATGAAGTGGCCCTATGTGGAAAATAATTGAAGACCACTGCTGTAAGTAACCTATATTTAAGTTAATATATTTTTACTTTTACTTTGAGTCGTTATTGTCACTGTGTCAGTGGCATAATAATTTAATAATACCACAAACTAACTTGAAAGATAAGTAACACATATTATTACATCAAAATAACAATATGACCGTTATCAATATCAGCCACAATGATAACATTTGGTCAACCATAAGAAAACGAAATTACTTCCGAGTTTAAAAAAAAAAGTTACTAACAAATCACTTACTCTGCGGATTCGATTTCAATAGACATGTTTATTCACACGTTTTTTCAAATCAAACAAATTCTGTTATAAAGAATTCATAATCATACTTTACTTTAAGCTTAAGCCTAAAATATAGTATTAGAACCTATTTAATAAAAAAACTCGCTGTCTTTTCTCTACACAACTTTTATTGACACGAAACGTGAAAATATGAGAAACACATTATTCTATGTCAAGGAGTTTAAAGTTTTATGTGCAATATAAATTGCAACGTCAAATAGATATTTTGAGTGTTTTGTAAAACATATATTTTAAAATTAAATCTTGTATACTGCCAGTTCTTTTTTCTCCCTTTTTTTCGGAGGTTTCATTAAAAACGTGAAATAACATACAGTAATGGGATGGATTTTATAATTAATAAGAATTAAATTCAGATAAATCGTTAAAAAAATATCGATTTAACAAACTTAAGGAAATATAATCGATTTAAAA